TAGGCCAAGGCACGATAATGGGCCCTTTTGTGGGCCGCGGTAAAAATGGCCCAGTAAAAGGACCTTGCGATTAGTTCGGTCCAATTATAGTGGTGGTCACCACGGTCAGAGTAATAGCAGTTAGCTCGGTCATACCCTTCTGAGCCAAGGTATTTTGAGCTTTCCTTAGGACCTTGCTACGGATTAGCTCGGTCCAAGCTCGTTATGGTTAGTACGGTCTCAGTAGGAGAAACCAGGGTACACACAATAAGGGGAAGAACTGAGCTAGTTAAAGCTGGGTCATTTCAGCTAGTTTAGCATGGCTATGATAGCTCGGTCGTTTGTCATACTACCGAGGTAAAACCATCTCACTTGGTTTAAGCAGTGAGGGGGTGTTGAAGGATAAGTATTACTTTTCAGGAGTGTGATTCCTAGGAGGACTTTACATAGAGGAATAAGAGTCCTACTAGGATTTATTATTAAATGAGAATAAATAACAATATGATAGATATAAAAGGGATGAGATAAATACAAATAAATAATTTAAAATTTTGATTCTTAGCTAAAAATCTCATTACTAAATTATCATAATAAACCATCAATACCACTCACTAAATATTAATACTTCGAAAATACGGGGTGTCACAGGACTTTACATAGAGAAATAAGAGTCCTACTAGGATTGTGCCACGCGGAACTTATAAAAGCTCATAACATCACCTATGGAGAGGTAACACAATTTTGATTCCTGAATTCACAGAGCTTTTGTGTCTATTGTCTATTGTGCTGACTTAGGCATCGGAGGGGTTTCCGGCACACACCCGCCGGCTAGCTCACGTTTGTGCTTTCAGGGAGTAAAACGACGACGTACGGAGGAGCGCAGACTTGATCAACAGGATTATACGAGAAGGATTATTTTGTGCTCGTACAATAATTATATAATATATCTGTCTTTTTTTCCTGGTAGACAGGGATTGTGTTCATAATAATAATAACAACAATGCTGAGACTCTCAGTGGGGGTGGCCCAGCAACCCCCACCTCCACATGGGGGTTTGGAGAGCAAGACAGACGAAGAAAAAAAAATTTTAACCAATCAAAAAATAATAGGGTTGGGGTGGGGGTGGTGGGTCACCACTGAGGGTTCAAGTCATTTCTATAATAATAATAATAAAATGAATTGGGTAGCGGAGAGAAGAATCTGAGAGAGATTTCTAAAGAATCTAAGGAGAGAGAAAAGTGCCCTGCCATGGGCAAGTAGTTTGCTGCAAGAGGAAGAGGATGATACCGCAAGACCAGGCATTGGCCTTTGCGCCATCGAAGCCGCGGCAGCAGAGGACTTCCGGGGAAGTATATGCCGAAGTTCCGCAGGCGGTTTGGAGCACTTGCGGTGGAGCTGGTTTTCTGGCAAGGCGGGAAGGCCAAAAAATCGGAGATTTTCAAAACTCCGGCGGCGTTAATGAGAAGGTTCTGGGGCTTGATGTCGCGATGGGTGACGTCGTGTCAGTGGCAGAAGTGGAGGTCGGAGACGATTTGCTGGAAGTAGCAGCAGGTGGTGGTAGACTTTGGCAAAGCTGCCTCTACCCAATCGATGACCCAAAAGACATGGTGGAGCCAGTAGTGAATGAAACAAAGAATGTGATAATTGCGGCAGCGGAAGCTAAGGTTCGGTGCGTGGTGTTCACTTCATCAATCGGTGCAGTAACCATGGACCCTAAGCAATGAATGGAACAAAGAATGTGATAGTGTACTTCTCTCCAGCATTATGCTTGGAAGTAGTACTTGATGCAGTAGAACAGCTCCGAAACGGGGATGAGGTCCGGTGGGCAGCCAAGGCGAGGCTACCGCCCACCGGTGAAGCGAAATTATGAGGTTCTTAACCTAACTCTGATACCATGTTAATTTAATGTATTGAGAGAGAGAGAAAATAAATTGTATGTATTGAATGTTGTATATATTGATCCATTAGTAATGTTCAGTTGAGCTCCCTTTGTAGGGGAGAGGAGCCTATAGTAAAGTAAAGCAACATATAGCTAGTATTACACTAACATAATAAAGTAAAGCAAAGCATACAGCTAATACTACACTAACCCAAAGGATCGATTCTTGATTTTAAAACAGGAAGAAAAAAAAAAAAGAAGAAGAAAGTTGTCAACGTGATAGGCACTGTGTATTAAACTTTGTTTATCAGTGCATTAATAATTTTAAAACCTGTATTGACTTCAGAATTAATTATAATTAAGTAAAACACGCAATACAACTAAAAAATTAATTAACAACAATTTGAGCCTTTACTTCGATGGCTGTTCCAGAGATGGACAAGTTAACAACCTTGATGGATGTCGTGATCATCAACAACCAAAACCAAGATGGATTTTAAAATTAATATAAATGTGTATAGAATTCATACACAACAAAATACATTGAACAAAAACAAGTGAGTCTCTACTGAAAAAATGAAATAGGTGTCCAAAATAGAGATATAGGAAAAGCTCATACCGTTGTTGGTAGGTTTTTTTTTGTGATTGACAATTTCGTTTAACAAAATTCATTTTAGTTGTAATTTTATTCGCTCTTTTGTTTCAGTAAGGTTAAGAATATTTAGATGTAGATCCAATTCGAATTGTGCCTTGCAGATGAGTTTATGATTTAATTCTTTTATGTTTGCCATTTCGCTAATCATGGCGGGTCTAAAGCAACGCCCATGTGAGGTCGATGGACAGCCCCTCGACTTTTGCAGAGTGTCGATCGAGCGGTTATTTGTGCGAAGTCGTTTGACTAGTCGAGCGATCATTTGTGCGCTCGAGCGAAGAAAATGATCATTCAGTACTTTTGCAGAGTGCCTGAACTTGTAAGAAATTTTTTTACCGCTCTAGCGGTGAAAGTTACACTCGAGCAATCAACCTATATGTTTCGTACTGTCTGTAGTCACACTGCTCAAATGATTAAATGTGCGCTCAAGCGGTTTTTGCAATCTAATTTACTATAAATTGCATTGTTTGCTCATTTTAAGGTTTGTGACATCTAGATTTTCAGAGATGATGAAAATACAAAGTGTTTTATATTGGAGAGAGTTTTATGAGTGTTTCCTTGATGATTTAAGAATGGTCAATGGATCTATGAAGTTTAGATCAACATCATCAAAGGGTTTGTTTATTTCCTTTTATTCACAAAAGAGAGAGTTGTTCTTCGGTGGATTCCGAGAAACTTGAGCCTGAAGCTTTGGAAGATTCCGGAGTGGTTCATCGTCGTGGATTCGACATCGACGTTATGGATTTAACATCGGACAAGACAATTCCGTAGTGAAGACGGTGGTGGAAAAGACGTATTAGAATCAGTTCAATTCGGATGTGGATTCACTAAGTAATTGAGAGTACATTTGTTTAATTTTTTTTTGTCTTCTTAGTATATTGTTTTGTGACTTTGATCCTTTTTTTTTTCTAATCACAATTGGAGGCGTTTCAATTGTAATTTTTTCACGTTAAATCATTGTGTTGATTTTTCTTTGATTGTTTGATTGAGATTTTATTTATTGTTTAAAAATTGAAACAAAATCACAAATCAATATCTCAAAAATTTTAGATTCTTCAGTTGTCTTTTATTCTGTGAACTATTTTTGTATGAATTGAGATTCTATCCATTTTATAGATGAAATGGAAAATTTCATTTTATGATCAATACTTGTAAAAAAATCACGTGAACAAATATTTATTTGGAATAAGACTCTTTCAATTTGGAATAAGACTCTTTCACTTGGTGGGTGTGTAGTATCATTTAATGACGTCAAGTGTTTGGTTCAAATTTTATTGAGAAAAGTTTAATAGCTTTTGATTATTATTTTTGTCTACTTATGATAGTTGTATTGAGTGAAATTAAATAGAGATCTCTATCATATAGATATCATAAACAAATTTAGAATATATCAAAGTGTAAGTATATTTTGTCACTCAAATTCATCATGTAAATTACACTAAAATCTCAACTACACCCTACATTATTTGTATATTTTTTTGGTTCAAAAATACTAAAGAGCTAAAATATTATGTTGAAAACTTTACTATTTAGTACTCGTTTGGGATATCTCATTAAGGCTAAAATAGTCATATAAAATAAAATATGATATTTTAATTAAATAAGATAAAATATCATATTTAATTCATAATTATTTTATTTTTTCTCTTACAAAATCTATTCCAAATAAAATATTTTAACCTTAAACTAAAATAATAATAAAAGATTAAAAAATTTAGAAAGTCAACGCGCATCCCACGAGCTCTTAACACTCACTTGAGTATTAAACCTCGTTTGGAAATTTTTTTTTTAGTTAAAAAATTAAAAAATTATTAAAATTAGTTAAAAAGTCAATAATTCATATCAAAAAGTAAAAGATTTTCTTTTCTCTCTATTTTTTACACATCTTTTCATAAAAAGTTAAAAAATCATCTCAAATATACGAATTTTTTTAACTTATATTTTAACTAAATAATTAAAAAATTATTAAATTAACCTATCCCCGCCTAGGTCGGAAAATTTTAGGAGACCACACATGAGTGAGTGACAACCAACACCGACTTCATATAATTATTTTATTTTTTCTCTTACAAAATCTATTCCAAATAAAATATTTTAACCTTAAACTAAAATAATAATAAAAGATTAAAAAATTTAGAAAGTCAACGCGCATCCCACCAGCTCTTAACACTCACTTGAGTATTAAACCTCGTTTGGAAATTTTTTTTTTAGTTAAAAAATTAAAAAATTATTAAAATTAGTTAAAAAGTCAATAATTCATATCAAAAAGTAAAAGATTTTCTTTTCTCTCTATTTTTTACACATCTTTTCATAAAAAGTTAAAAAATCATCTCAAATATACTAATTTTTTTAACTTATATTTTAACTAAATAATTAAAAAATTATTAAATTAACCTATCCCCAAACAAGACTTAGGTCGGAAAATTTTAGGAGACCACACATGAGTGAGTGACGACCAACACCGACTTCATTCTTCCCCTTATATATTCTTTCTTGCTTGCATTCCAATCCTTGCTACAACTCTCTCTCTCTCTCTCTCAAAAATGGGTTCGACAACACCACAACTATCTAAGGAAGTTCTACCTTACCTCAGAGTCTACAAAGATGGAACCATCGAAAGACTCGCCGGAACTGATGTTGTCCCAGCAACCTTCGACCCTAAAACTGGTGTTATCTCCAAAGACACCGTGATCATACCAGAGACCGGTGTCTCCGCCAGGCTCTACCGCCCCAAACTCACACCGGCTGACAAGAAACTCCCTCTGGTGGTCTACTTCCACGGCGGCGCATTTTGCATATCCTCTATTTCCGATTCCTTCTACCACCACTCTCTCAACGTACTTGTCTCCAAAGCCAACATCGTCCTCGTCTCCATCGACTACCGACTCTCTCCAGAGCACCCTCTTCCCACCGCCTACGCCGACTCCTACGCCGCCCTTCAATGGGTCGCTTCCCATTCCGGCGGTTGTGGGGCGGAGGATTGGCTGAAAGATAACGTTGACTTTGACAAAGTGTTCTTGGCAGGGGATAGTGCTGGGGCCAATATTTCACACCATATTGCGATCCGGGTCGGGTCAGAGCCGATCCAAGGTTTGAAGTTTCATGGTATTTTAATGATCCACCCGTATTTTTGGGGGGAGGTGCCGATTGGATCCGAGGTCACGGATCCGGTAAGGAAAGCTATGGTGGATTGTTGGTGGGGGTTTGTTTGCCCGTCGGATAAAGGAAATGATGACCCGCTTATTAACCCGTTTGTGGATGGATCCCCGAGTCTTTCCGGGTTGTGTTGTGACCGGGTTGTTGTTTGTGTTGCTGGGAAGGACATATTGAGAGATAGAGGGAAGCTGTACTATGAGTCATTGGTGAAAAGCGGGTGGCAAGGGAAGGTGGAGTATGTGGAGATAGAGGGTGAAGATCATGTTTTCCACATCTTCAATCCATGGTGTGAGAAGGCTCTCAAGATGATCAACAGTTTGGCGTCTTTCATAAATCAAGAGTCATATAGCTGTACTACGGGCGCAAAATGAATTTTATAGAATAAAGCACAGATGTAATTCAAAATAATTATATCTACAAAAATGTTTGGCAGCTAAAAGGAGCCCTAATTATGTGGCACTAGTCCATGTGTAATTATTGTTACTTTTTATTGGTGCTTTTTATTTTCTTTTGATTTACTAATTCATTAGAGCTCTATTTAGAATTCTTGAATTAGAGTTACGTATCATTGTTCTTATATCTATATATCTCTACCTTCTGTATTTGAAACTTTCTGTGTGCTGTTGTACGAGCACGAAATAATTCTTCTCGTATGATCCTGTTGATTAAGTTTGCACTCTTCCGAACAACGTTACTTTGCCACCTGAAAACACAAACGTGAGCTAACCAGCAGGTGTGTACCGAAAACCCCTCCGATGCCTAAGTCAGCAACTGGACAATCGACAATAAACTCTGTGTATTCTAGAGTAAGAATTGAGATACCTGTACAAAGGTCTGGTCATGAGTTTTTATAGATTTTACTTTGGCACAATCCTAGTAGGATTCCAACTCTTCCTATGAGAGTCCTCCTAGGAATCACACACCCTACTCACTACCAACCAAATGAGATAGTTTTGCACAATCCTAGTAGGACTCTACTCTTCTTAGCAGAGTCCTCCTAGAAGTCATACTCCTACTCATTACCAACCAAGTGAGATGGTTTGCACAATCCCAGTAGGACTCTAACTCTCCTTAGCAGAGTCATACTAGGAGTCTCATCACTGCAAGCCAAGTGAGATGGCTGAACCCATTTACCTCGGTTATACAGTCCTGACCGAACTGCCTTATCTCGGTCCTCTGCCATTCGGACCGTGTGATCGAAAGCCGATCTATCGAATGCCACCCTGCCGAGCTATACACAGCTCGGCCCTCGCCATTGATGTTACCTCGGTTTGTTACAGAACTTTCTTTACTTCGGCTGTCATCTTTCCCTCGGCTCTGTGCTCAACTTAGTAATGGAATAGAAGCATCGACCGAGCTATACCTAGCTTGGCCATCTGTCTTACCAAACACCACAGTCAACCCTTGGGCCTAGTATTTAGGTAGCTTGGTCAACGCCCTTGCCCAGTTTGGTACTCAGATAAAAAGGGACCGAGCTACCCGTCGTTCATACTTCGGCCCTTATCTCGGCCCATTATGCGGCCCAGCTCCCAAAGAAGATTCTTCCTAGCTCGGCCCAATTTGTTTACAAATTACCCTCTCAATTGCCCCTTAATTCCATCTGCGTAGCATAATTGGAATTATTTTTCCTCCAGCCGAGCTAAGAACGCCCCCACTCTGCCAAGCTAAAAAGTTTGTTCGGCCCCTAATAAGCCTTGTCAGTTGCTCAACATGTCCTTCCACTAATCTGGTACGATGTCATTCCCAGGATACATGGCGTGCCCCCAAAATCCTCGTTCTCCTATTACCACCGTCATGCCGAAAATTTGAATAGCCTTGCTTTTTTGCCTTCAACGTATATATCCTTCGAGTTTCCAATCGTATGGCGAGTCGTTCTTTCTGTGTCTTACCGAGCAGACTAACTCGGTTTTACTAACCCTACCGACCTGCTTTGGCCAAGATAACCATCTCGGTCCAGGAAAAAAATTATTGGTCAAACCTGCCAACCTGCTTTGGTCGAGGTAACCATCATCCCGGGCAAAGAGTTCAAAAATTTTGTTGATCAAACCTGCCAACCTGCTTTGGCCGAGGTAACCATCATTCCGGTCAAAGAGTTCAAAAGTTAGTTGGTCAAACCTGCCAACCTACTTTAGCCGAGGTAACCATCATCTCGGCCAAAGAGTTCCAAAAATTTTGTTGGTCATACCTGTCAACCTGCTTTGGCCGAGGTAACCATCATCCCAGCCAAAGAGTTCAAAAAAAAAATTTGTTGGTCATACCTGCCAACCTGCTTTGGCTGAGGTAACCATCATCCCGGCCAAAGAGTTCAAAAAATTTTGTTGGTCATACCTGCCAAAGCAACCTGCCAACCTGCTTTGGCCAAGGTAACTATCATCCCGGCCAAAGAGTCTAAAAAATTTTGTTGGTCATACCTGCCAACCTGCTTTGGACGAAGTAACCATCATCCCGACCAAAGAGTTCAAAAATTTTGTTGGTCAAACCTGCCAACTTCTTGCAGCCTAGATCCTCATCTCGACTTAGGAAAGCTAAATGTTGGTTATTCCTACCAACCTTCTTCAGCGCGAATCCTTATCTCGGCTTGAAAAAGAGCTAAATGTTTGGTCATTCCTGCCAAACTTCCTGCAGCCTGGATCCTTATCCTCTGTTTAGGAGAAGTGTTGGTTTTTCCAGCCAACCTCTTCAGTCCAGATCCTAATCCTAGCTGAAGAGAGCTCAAAGTTGGTTATTCCGGCCAACTCTGAGCGAAGTGTTTGGTTTTTCCAGCCAAACGTTCTGCAGCCTGGATCCTTATCATCGGTTTAGGAGAAGTGTTGGTTTTTCCAACCAACCTCTTTAGCCCAGATCCTAATCCTAGCTGAAGAGAGCTCAAAGTTGGTTATTCCGGCCAACTCTGATTTTATTTAGAAAGAGTTAGTCAATCCTTCCAACCCACTTTGCCCCCAGTTGGGCAAAGATTTTTTACTTGGTTACTCCTTCTTGTCAACTGTGCTAACTTTTGTCGAAGGTGTTTTGCTCGACATCGTTGTTTGTACCAAACTCCGCCTTGGTGTTCATTCTGAATCTGGTCACAAATGCCTCCGCTAGTTGCGCTCACGAAGCTGTGCTACCTTCTGGCAACCTCTCAAACCACGTTAAACCCAGGTCACCAAGGCTAAGGGTAATGGTGCGTTCTCCATTGTCGGAACGAACGGTGAGCTCTGCAACCTTGCTAACACTTTGTCTGCTGGTTCATAGGCAAGGCGTGGCTGGAATTCCAACTTCGACACTCCCCTGTGTTCTAGGAACCAATCGTTGTAGTGCAAAGACTCTGCGGGGGTTGCGAGCCTAAGTGTCTTTTCTCCTTCGAGCCCTTTCAATCTTCATTCTCTCAGGCCTGGAGTAGCGTGCCCTAGAAGTCTTTAATTGTGTATCGCTCGACCTGAGGCTTCTACTTTCAGTTTGTGATAGTGTGACTTGTCTGTTACGATCTTCTGAGTGGCAAGAGTGTGTGTTGCCTTTTATCTGGTGCTTCATCGTCTCTATGTCAGCCGCCATTCTTTTTATTACTTCGTCTTGCTCCCTTACGCGATCTTCGAGAACCTGAGGATCCATCTTCCGCCTCTGTTTATTAGGGCTTTGAGAGCGGTGTGGACTTGAGCCATGTCTTTCTCTTGCTTCTCTCCACGGATTCCTTCGCTGGGGATCTAATTCTGCCATGGGTGGGATAGAAGGTAAACCTTCGCGCCTCTCACCCCCTTCTGGTGTTTGCCCATCAATAGCAAATTGCGGCAAGTCTTCATTGTGCGTCATTGCTTTCAACTAGAGAGAAAAACTTGATCAAGAAGTTTTTCTCTTTATGAAATTCCCACAGACGGCGCCAATTGTACGAGCACGAAATAATTCTTCTCGTATGATCCTGTTGATCAAGTTTGCACTCCTTTGAACAACGTTGCTTTGCCACCTAAAAACACAAACGTGAGTTAACCAGCGGGTGTGTGCCGGAAACCACTCCGATGTCTAAGTCAGCAACTAGACAATAGACAATAGACAATAAGCTCTGTATATTCTAGAGTAAGAATTGGGATACCTGTACAAAGGTCTGGTCATGAGCTTTTACAGATTTTACTTTGGCACAATCTTAGTAGGATTCCAACTCTCCCTATGAGAGTCCTCCTAGGAATCACACACCCTACTCACTACCAACCAAGTGAGATAGTTTTGCACAATCCTAGTAGGACTCTACTCTCCTTAGCAGAGTCCTCCTAGGAGTCATACTCTTACTCACTACCAACCAAGTGAGATGGTTTGCACAATCCCAGTAGGACTCTAACTCTCCTTAGCAGAGTCATACTAGGAGTCTCATCACTGCAAGCCAAGTGAGATGGCTGAACCCTTTTACCTCGGTTATATATTCCTGACCAAACTGCTTTATCTCGGTCCCTTGCCATTCGAACCGTGTGATCGAAAGTCGATCTATCGAATGCCACCCTGCCGAGCTATACACAGCTCGACCCTCGCCATTGATGTTACCTCGGTTTGCTACAGAACTTTCTTTACTTCGGCTGTCATCTTTACCTCGACTCTGTGCTCAACTAAGTAATGGAATAGAAGCATCGACCGAGTTATACCTAGCTCGGCCATCTGTCTTACCAAACACCTCGTCCAACCCTTGGGCCTAGTATTTAGGTAGCTTGATCAACGCCCTTATCTAGTTTGGTACTTAGATAAAATGGGACCGAGCTACCCGTCGTCCATACTCTTGCCCTTATCTCGGCCCATTATGCGGCCCAGCTCCCAAAGAAGACTCTTCCTAACTCGGCCCAATTTGTTTACAAATTACCCTCTCTACTGTAATTGCTTATTTAAGTTTTAGTGGTATACTAATGGGTAACTCCTACAATGCATGAAAATTTATTTTCAGAATAAAAAAATTAATTTTGAGTATTAATATTTCATGTATAGAAAATTTTAATAATTGAAAGTTAAATTCAAATGAATTTGCTAATGACTAATAAAAATTGTTGTTACTGTGTGTGATTCTATGTAAAAGGCTTATAAAAATAATTTATTTCAATATTAAAAAAAAAAGTGTATTCTCAACCTGAAATCAAATCTACATTTGTGTTAATCAAATTTATAAAAAAAAAATATGAATTCCATTTGTATCAAAATATATTTTTTTGAAAAAAAAATTAAAAAAAAGGAAAAATTCTATAATATACAAATTATAACTTGGTTATAATTCATGGCGTATTATTTTAGTAATTAATTGAAAAAGTCTTTACTAATTTATTATGTTTTTAGTATGTCTAAAGTGATGCATTGAATTTTTAATTATGCCTCAAGTGGTATTTTATTTATTTAGATTTGTGCTTCAAATTGTGTTTGATTACGATATATTATAATACTTTTATATGACAAAATTTAAGTATTTTATTACACGAAAAAGTGTTTAAGATGGGTTGACTCAAAGGTAAAATTTATATTTATATCAGTGCGATCATAAGAGTTATTCACATTGATATATAAAAAATTCAAATTCAAATTAAACATTATCCTCAAAGGGAATTAGGCACAAAATC